GGGAACAGAAGAGTGCTTCAAAGACGAAGGTAGAAAAAGGTGAGGTGAGTACTGTGAAATAGTCGAATATGACATACAATGGGGTGAGGGTAGTTTGAAGTGAGAAGTCAACTGCCAGTTAATAGACTTTTTTGCCGTATGAATATACGTTGCCCAGGGTGCACCACGTGAAAGTAAGTCTATCGCACACCCCATAAAATCATAATATATAACTCGCTAGTCTAGAATCATTAAATTTTAAAAAGAATCCCTTAAATGCAAATTCAGCACGTGTAAAATATCAGAACGCATTCGAATGTTCTATAACTTGCAAGAAGGCAGTCAAGCTAATGATTCGTTACTGGGAACATCAATAGGAAGTGAGGGGAAAGGGGGGTAGAGAGTAGGGGAGAAGGGGGAGAGGAAGGGGAGGGCTTCCCACCTAACCTTGTCCCTTAACTGCATCTTTCTAATGTTCGTTTTCATGATGCTTTGTGCCCAACAGAGGCGCCAGTAGTATCTATAAAACAGATAGAAATAGTGGACGTTTGTAATTATTGTTCATGTTAGAGTTTCAAATGAATGGGATATTTTGATTGATCCGTCAAGTATCGAATGAAGTTACAAAACTGTCAAATTTATTCGAAGTTCTACAAGCTAAAATCTTTTAATGAGGTAAATTATAACCAATCGGAGATATTGAACTTCAGATGGCAAACTTGTATTTATGAGTGATACGTATGAAAGCTGTTCAGAAAGGCAAAACAATTATTTCTGTTGACATTGAATACAGAATGATTCTTTTTACCCCCCCCCCTCCCCCCTCCCCACAATCGATTAGCCTGAATCAAGAAAAATGCAGTATTGAGTGACCAACTTTTCAAAATAGTACAACAAATTTTGGATGTTTGATCATGCCGACTCATAGATCATATTCGATTTCACAATCAGTGCTTTAGAAGCAAATCATGATATTGCTTGCAACAACCCAAACCAGAGACAGGAGGCTGACCACGTCTCTCTATCTCGTGATGAAGGGAAGCTGGGGGCATTTAACTTAGTTTAAATTAAAACCCTGTGACCAACCGCCACTTTTATTAAATAAGTTTATACTCAAGTTAATCCGCAGTATTCGTGTTGGTGAGAAAAAAACCAGATTCGTTCAACAAAATTAATTGTAATATTCCTCTAAGAGAGGTAATACAATTGATTTCAAGAAAAGCCGTTGGAACCCACTGGCGAAGAACTTGAAGTGGTGAACCCAGAGGTGGCAAACATCAAAGACAGTGAACAAGAAAACAATTTGGTTTAGAGACAAATGAAGATGGATGACAGTTTTAAGCAGCTTATTATTTCATTCATCAATCTTTATTTATATGGAGTGTGCACAAATGTGCTTAATTATTAAATTTCCCTCCTTAAATGTGCCGTTCCAAAAATACAGCTATGTTGTATTTCCTAAAATGCTGCCTGATAAACAAGCGATTTGGGCGCCTTGCCGTAAATGAGAATGAAAATAAGACCGACACGAGTTTGGGCCGCGTAAAAGCATTGATTTTACTAGTGACAAGAAGCAGCTGCACCATTCATGCCCTTTCTATGCCCACTCTTCCTTCTCCACTAGGCCAATCAGGTCAATGCCTCTGCCCCAAGCCAATGAGAAGACTAGTTCTTGAAAACGGGCACTGATAGTAGTTCGTCTATAAAAAGGCTCTCTCGGGGCCATGGGGCTGAATAATACCTTTTGCAGTACTATGACTGCCCTTTTAGTCAATTTTCTCCTCTTCCTTACCAGTATATATGCTATTCAGGCTTCTAGTAAGTTGTTTATATTTGAAATTATTTCCCTCTCTCTTCCATAGATCTGCATGTCATCGGAATTCGTGGCGCTATCGATGATGCGGTTATGCGCTTTGAACGCTCCCTGCAAATCTTCAACTACAAATACACATTCGCAGATCTCTCGGCGAGTGGCAAAGTGACTACGGAGATTCCCTTTGCAGATAAGGTTAAGGCTCTGAGAGAACTTGTCAGTGCAATCGATACCGATTATATCCTCGTTCTCGACAGGTTGGGATATCACATTTAGCTTATCCCCTAATACTCTACAATTTTCAGCCATTCCTCGCTGTTGCTCAACACACCATACGACTTTCTGATTCAGGCTGATAAAGTCGGTGCAGATTTTCTCTTCGTTAAGAAAGTAAGACAGCTAATTCTTATCGAACTTTAACCCTCTCCTAGGACAAAGGCACTAGTAAAAACGTACCAGCTGAAGACGACATCTTTGCTGGCATGTTGTCTAAAACGGTCAAGCTAAAGGAATTGTTGAAGACTTTACCGGAAGATATATCTTCTGAGGATCTGATTGATAAATTCCTTTCAGAACTATCGGAAGTACGTTAATATATATGTCAACACAAGATTATTTCATTGAATTCTTGTTCTTACAGAGCAACTCAAAAGTTGAAATCGATTATGGTTGCGTTGTTTTCCAATCCGTTGATAAAGATTCAGGTTAGTATTTGTTTCTAACGCTAGAATATAATTCCTTTTTCTAATTTTGCTCCAATTAATGAATTTTGTTTTAAGGAGACCACTTAAAAGTCCGATATGATGAGGATCGTGGCTTCGTGCAGAATGTTCATAAAGACTCCATTCCAATTGCTCTGATTGCAGCATCGGATGGAAAGGTACCTTTTTTCTCTACACTAATTAATCGTTATTTGATAAAAAAAATCTAAATCAAATTAAGGAAAGCTAGGATCATTTATTAAAGTTAGAAAGAAACTTACACAAATATAAGGCAATCTAAAACAAGCTAACCTAGATTCCTGATAAAACAAAAATTGTCAATTGAAGTGAAAATTCAATTTCTTATCTCCTTATGTATGGTTTACTGGGCTAAAATTATATATATATATTAAACAAGTAACCAAAAATCTGAATTATGCAGTATTATGGCTAGAATATCTATTAGGGACATAAAATACATTCATCTTTACAGAAAAACTTGAATGCTCTCTCAAACTATTTGGCTCGAGCCTGGTCACCTGAATCTGGTTGCCAGATTTGCGAAGAAAAGCTTGACCTCTCTCAACTTGACGTATGTTCTCTGTTTCATTTTAAATCCCCCCAAATTAGAGGAAGAGTTGTTAATCTTCTTCAACCATCTACTTTCAGGAAAGTGACTACCCTCTAGTTCAATTGAGTGTTTTAATTAACGAACCTACCCCTTTCTTGGATGTATTCTTTGAACATCTGGCCAACTTAACCTATCCAAAGAATCGCATCGATCTGGTCACTTTCTGTTCTGTAAGTGATCGCCACGACTATGTCTCCAAATGTACCATTCATTATAATGCGTATTGACTCTTTCTACTTTCATATTTCCAGGTGGAGGCACAGAAACCAATTATCAATGAATTTATAGCCAAGAAATCGTCCCATTATCATTCAGTGAAGGAAATGAAACTTCCTGCTAGTGCAAGCCCTTACGATGCCTTCCTTGAACTTTTGTAAATTATCCTGAGCTAGAATTAAGTAGACCATAGGATCAGTGGCTTCAAATCTCTATTTATTCCACTTTTAGATCATTCTGTTGGGAGAACACTGAATGCAATTACCTCTTTTATGTTGAGCCTACTGCTCAGCTAAATAAAAAGGATACCTTGGAACATTTAATATCCTCGAAGCGCAACGCTGTTGCCCCAATGATGACCCGCTACAGAAAATTCTGGTCAACATTCTGGGGAGCCCTAACCGAAGAGGGAGCCTATTCTCGTTCCGACGATTACTTTGACATTGTCGAACGTCGTCAAGAGTAGGATTATCTCTTTATAAGATGGGTTTCCCTTTTTGAGATGTGCTATTATTCCATTTTTGCGCTCTTAGAGGTCTATGGAATGTTCCATTTATTGGGGGATCAATCCTCTTCTCACGATGGGCAGTTGAACAGTTGAAGGACAGCCTAGAAGATAGTGGTTTCCTTCTATATGACATTTCAAATGCTGCTATTCACCGCGTGAGTTTTAATAAGAAAGCATAATGCCTATCAGTGATATTTGTAATTCGAGGCCTTCTCACTATTTTGATTTGCTCAAGTTAACCAGTATTAGTCTTATAGTAGTCAGTGACTAAATATTTGAACCAATGCTTGCCCTTTCACTCATTAATAAAGAATACTGTTGTGCTTGATATTCATTTAAGATCCAAATGAAATCGGGTCAGCTGATCACCATTATTCTATCTTTACAAGGACCAAGATTGGTCAGAGTGGCAGACTTGTACGTAATCATCACTCCATGGCGTGTTAAAACCAGTAGAAAATACTCAATTCGCATGGCTTGTCCATAATAGTGTGATAATTGGCTAATTAGGCAGATTAAATTAGTAAGACCCATACGCCCTTTTGTAGACTTCAGTTGGTTCTTCGTAAAATCATAGCTACTCACACTCAGGAAGAAAAGAGGAGACTTAAAGCCCACACATCGGTTTCTATACAAAGGAAGTTAATATGTCAATGCATATTATTGAGTATTTATAAAAAGACTGGGTGTCTAGTTAACCAAGTATTCCAACGATACTTGCTCCAATGACTCTGGCACATACATTTGCGAATGAAGAAAACAAATAATTAATAAACGAGTTTCTCAAGTGAACCTAGGATATACGACTGGGCTTCTCAATACTCACTTAACGCCTACTATGTTAGGCAATCGCGTGTAGTTAATGGGTTGTCTCGTTTTACTAAAATCGCGTTCAAAGGCTTTGGCTCTCTAACACAAATTATTTATAAAATAACTGTGCCTAAGCGAATGCTTCAACAAATGGTATCTTCCTTCCAACAGAATCTTTTCCTTTACGTTGACAACCGTGAAGAATTCGGTCATTTAACAAATCCAGAAACCTACAATACAACCCATCTACATAACGATTTGTGGCAAATTTTTGATAATCCTTTGGTATGTTACGTGACTGCATGTAGCCTCCAGGTTTGGCCATACTAACAAACTAATTATTCTTTGATATTTTCTTTAAAAGGACTGGGAAAAGAAATACATTCATCCCCTTTACCACAAATTTGTCAACGCCTCGATAACTAAAGAGGACATCGAACAACCTTGTACTGATGTTTTTATGCTTCCATTGATGTCAGAGACTTTCTGCAAGCAGCTCATTGAAGAGGTTGAACACATTCGCCAGTCGATTATTGGTCTTGAAAATGGTAAAGAGGCAGCACCTAGCAACGATATTCATATGAGCCAGATAGATTGGGACAGTCACTGGATACAAGTGCTACAGAAATACATTTATCCCATCCAATTGAAACTCTGGGAAGGTTATAGCGACAAGGTGTGTAGTGTCTGCGTTACCTTTACGTTTGACTATTGAAAAAAAAGTTTCTACCTACTTCCTCTTTTAGCCCACAGCAGAAATGAACTTTGTTAGGCGTTACCAGCAAGGTGAACAACCTTATTTGAAGAACCGTAATGAGCTCTCAACTTACAACATTGATATGCCTCTTAATAGTGCTCATGTGGACTACACCGTACGTTATTTATTATACCTCGTTCTATTTATTCTGGTCCGATCCCACATGCCAATATGATTTCTTCTATAGAACAGTAAAATATAATTGTGGAAATATTTCAGTTTCATTGCATTCACTTAGCTATAGGGAATTTTGTCGTGGTAACAATAGGTCCTCTTCGCTAAGAGACCATGACTGCTGATTGTGCTCTTAGTTCTATAATCCTCCGGTTTATCTAAAGACTCAATTTCTGGCATTTAAACTGAATTGAAATAGAATAATATAAGTACCGCATCTAACGGGAGCTGACCAATATTATCCGGATTGCCTTTAATTGTATGATCCACCTGGATTTGAGGTTATGAAAAGAAAATCTGGGTTTGATTGGGGATGATGAAAATAACCGCACGTGGAAGTTTGTCAACTTCGATTGCTTTTTACAAGAACAAAATTTGACAGAATGCCAATGGAGGGCTTTTAAACACTCACCAATCAGATTAATAGTGATGGCTAGTCTATTGATCACTGGATTTAAGTACTATTGTCGCCACAACTCCTATAAATCAGCTACGGATTATAAGAACAACACACCCGAAAATAGTCGGGCCATGCCTTGTGTGCTTCAATCAATGACAAATTATTTGGTTAGCTGTCAAAAACAAGTTAAAATTATCATTTAAATTAATGGATGTACGCCAATGGGTCTCAATCGCGCCGCTCAGATATGGGTGGAGGAGGTAAGACAGGAGTTCAATTACTCCGCGACACTATTACCTCACCTATCAATTTCGAAAGACTTTTTGCAAGAAAATGTTGTGTCTCCTTTGTAGGGTGGTGGTGTGAGATTCCCACGATACAATTGCTCTCTAGTTGATACCCCTGCTGGATGGCCTTTAATCTTTCCAGGCCGCCTTACCCACATCCACGAGGGTTTGGAGATTACTGATGGCATTCGATACGATTTCGTTTCCTTTGTTAACCCCTAAACACTCCTCGGCAATGCCACTTTAGTCAATTCCTTCTTTCTCATTTCTTTTTTCATATTCCTGTTTGTATGCTCAGTTTCTATTGACATTCTACTCTCCTTGCTATCAACATACTATCTAAGCTACAACATTTTCGGGAATATATTGGAAACTCTTAATTGCATGCAACAGCAAGTCTCTGTTTTGTACACAATAATGATGAATTCGGAATGAGTAATCCAGCTTCCAAAATACGACGGAAACTTTTTTACAGCCAAGATAGATAGGTGGGACTTTGCTTTATAAGCACGGGAAGAAAATCCTAAATCTAGTATCGAATCTACCACTTTCAATGCTATCCCAGAAAGACACTTCAGGCTCAACCGAAACGCAAGAAATATGATTATCACTTTTGAAAGAGTAAACCAACGAATGCAAAGATAAAGAAATTTCATCACCTGATTACTAGTATAATTCGTTGATAACCATAAAGAGGAGAAGTTTTATAAGGACCTTGGTCATTTTGAAAATGAATCTTATTTACTGCTAAAAATTGCGACAATTAGAGTTCACTCTTGAAATCTCTGTGACTTGCAAAAACACAAATGTCTAGTTTTACCTTAAGACTAGGGTTAAGAGTTCTTTGTTCACTTGATGGGTAGGCAATAGAAGTGATAGCTGGTAAAGAATAGTCGAAAATCTCTCAGTAAAAAATTACGCATGTCAGATTGATATGAGGGTGTGTGTACAAAGGGCTAATAATTTTAGTAAGCCGTAGACGGTTAGACTATCTGCTCAATCGCATCTACTGGTGAGTTTTATTTTTATCCACAACAATGCTGTGGTGTGGGGTGTGCGATAGACTTACCTCCACGTGGTGCACCCTGGGCAACGTATATTCATATGGCAAAAAAGTCTATTAACTGGAAGTTGACTTCTCACTTCAAACTGCCTTCACCTCACTCTATGCCATATTCGAATATTTCACAGTACTCACCTCACCTTTTTTTCTACCTTTGTGTTTGTCTCTTATCTCTTTGAAACACTCTTCTCTTCCTTCCCCCCTCTCGACTTTTTTCAATTTGATGTTCCTTCCCCTCTGTGAAGTCTGAAGTTAACTAAAGGGCTAATGATAACCATCAAGATGCCTGCCATTTGATATAAATAAAAATAAATGCTGTGGTGTTCTCATTTGTTTTAATTGGGAAAAACATCTAAACAGAGAGATCAAAAGAGAACAGAGGCAAAGCATCACATTCAGCTTTTCCATTCAAATAAGGTTTTGGAGTGTTTATTGTATAATATCCTATTATCAAAAGTTCAAATATTTGAATCTAACCCCACGGTTTAATTTTTAACTAAACTGTGGCATGACAGTATTTAGTTGAGTGGTTGTTAAGTCATCGCAATAAAGTTGCCAGTTTAAGACAGACACGATTAACTATAAGAAAAGTACTTGAATAATTTTATGAAAGCAGATTTCAATACAGTTCAATCAAGTGAATTCTTTCTATAGCAATGTCATTTATGACTTATAATAAAATCACTTGGTTCTTCCCCCCCCCTCCCTCCCCTACTCCCTCTATACAAAAGGCAGCAAAAATTGTAGGTAAACAAGACGATTGTTTTACAACAAGTTGGCTAATAGCAAGAACACGATTTGAACTTAAAATGTGGATTTGACAGGGTCTGTAATTTTCTCCCATAAAACAGTGAGTCATACCTATACAGGAACTTGCGACTGAGGGTGTGACTATCAGGTGACCAGTCTGGACTTCATAAAAAGCTGCCAGGTAGTAGCATGCCACAAAGCAGATTTCGTTTTTTGTCGCTCCATTACTCTTTGCTGATTATTTGATATCGGAAGTTCTTTCCAAATGTCTGAGGATTTCATCTTATAGTTACCATTATTGTACTCGTAAATCACAATAGATTTTCTAAACCATTAAGAAATAAATAGGAAATTATTTGGTTATAGGGAAGGCATCCTGAACACCCCACTATGAGGTGCTCCCAATCCGCCACTTGCCTAACTGATCAATTGCAACCAATACGCGAGACCTTTCATTTGAAAAAGTGAACTACGACCACAGCATCAATGGCTAATATTAAAGTACATATTTGAGTGCCCAACCTCATTTTAAGATCGTTTGATCGTCTCATTGCCATTTACTTAGCAGCACACAGTATAGACTATTGGCACTTTTCAGACCTTTTCTGTAATCTGAATGTCGCAACATTAGGTTAACATTCATTCATATTATCTTTAATAATTGTTAGAATTAATTTTGCTAATGAATCAGATATGATAGTTAATATTTCTTCTAACTATTTTCCAATGTCACTGTTTCCTAACTATTTTATTACTAAAAATAAAAGTAAATGATAAACAATGTGTATTAAAAGACAAATATTACCATTAAATGCATTAGCAAATACAATGAACGAGCGACAGTAATGATGGAAAAGAAAGAGAGCTATTGTTGTTGTTTGAATGAGGTGAGTTTTCAGGGATGAATGAAAGTCACGAAGATGTACCTAACCCCACTAGTAGTCTCCAGACCTTCGTGAAGATGCGTGAGGCGACCCGGGAAAACCAATGGCCAACCAACGCGAGTTTCTCTTAAGGTGCAGTTGTATCGTGGGTAATGAACACCACCTCCCTAAAAGGGTCAAAAAATCGATTTCTGCGATTTTCTTGCCAAATTTACCACCCCCCTTACCCATCCTACTTACCGTATAATCAACATTATAACGATTAAGAGCCATATCCAGTGTATACGTGGACGCATCGTGGTGCAAACGCAGGGACGGCTGTTCACCCTGTTTGTATCTGACGACGAAGTTCATTCTAGCAGTTGGCTAGATTAAGGAAAAGACTGTTAATGCATATACTTTCAACCCATTAAGACATTCACCTTTCTTTGTTTACTTTATCATAGTATCCCTCCCAGAGTTTGAGTTGAATGGGATATACGTATTTCTGCAAGACATGCATCCAATGCTCTTCCCAATTAACCTGTCTCATATGGATATCAATGGTAGGAACATTCTCATAGCCACTTTCAAGTCGCGGATCATAGTTTGAACCGTCAGACCATTTTCCAAAGTGTTCCATTTCTTCAATGAGTTGTTGGCAGAAAGTCTCTGACATTAAAGGAATTTGGAAGATGTCTTGACAAGGTTGTTCGAAATCGTCTTTGGTAACAGTTGGACCAGTAAAATTGTGGTAAAGCGGATGAATATAGCGATCTTCCCAGTCTTTCGGGTTATCAAAGATCTGCCAGAGGTCGTTATGAAGGTGATCAAAGTTGTAAGTTTCTGGATTTACTAAATGACCAAATTCTTTACGATTGTCCACGTACAGGAAAACGTTCTGAAAATGCAAGGAATCACTTATCTCCAAAAGCAAAGGGTAAATCTGATAAAGAGTGGCAACACTTACACGATGGAAAGCGGCATTAGAAATGTCAAATAGAAGAAACCCAGAATCTTCAATTTCATCACGAATTTGTTCAATCGCCCATTTGGAGAAAAGGATCGAGCCTCCAACCAATGGAACATTCCAAATTCCCCTGTAATTAGAATGCAACTCTAGATATCTCCCTTACTAAATATGTCGTCATTTCAAGAGAAGTTAACATACGTTTGCCTACGTTCGACGATGTCGAAATAATCGTCTGATCGAGCATAGGCACCTTCATCAGTGACAGCACCCCAGAAAGAGGACCAGAATTTGCCAGGTCGGGTCATCATCGGTGCAATTGCATTGCGCTTTGCTGCTACCAAGTGTTCCAAGGTGTCAACTTTTGTCAGTTGAGTTGTGGTTTCAACGTAGAACACGTATTTGCATTCGGTGTCTTTCCAGCAGTAAGACCTAGTTTGAAATGGTGATCAGTGTCAAAGGACTTGCTGCTGAGTATTGGTCATACTGTCAGAGATAAACTCACATAGCCTCTCTGAAAGCATCATATGGGCCATAGTTTGGATCTGTTTGGACTTCCTTTGTTGAATGATACTCGCTGACGTACTTAGCCACATATTCAGAAATAATGGGCTTTTGTTTCTCAACCTTAAATGAAAGACAGGTAGAAAGACAAATAGAATGAACTATTAAATCAGAGATTTTATTAGAAACTCACTGCGCAGTAGGTGACCAGATCAATGCGATTCTTTGGATAAGTGAGGTTTCCAAGGCGTTCAAAGAAGACTTCGAGAAATGGAGTTGGTTGAGTTAGCATAACAGTCATTTGAACAATTGGGTAGTCGTCCTTCTTTAATAAATAATGAAAAACAAATAAAATGAATTACTAAACGGCTAAATCCCTGAAATGGTTAATCGATTGGACATAACGATTTTAATAATAAAGAATTTGAAGTCTCACTTTTCAACTTCAGCCCAGAAGTGTGAGCAGTTTTATTGATGTGCAACAAATCCATTTAGGCAGTTATTAATTGTAAGGCACGCAGATTTGTATCGTCAGCCTGGGATAGTTATAGCGTCTTATTCCAAAAATTAATTTTGGATTCGGGTTGCCGAAAAATGCATCCACTGACATTTATCTATGACTTTTAATCTCCTGCCTTAATTTCACTCACTAGCATGGCAACGGGTAAGTCATGAGTTAGGCCGTATCCAAAATCTGAGCCACAGTGTCCTGACTGAAGGAACACTTCCATATCAGTAAACCATTTCCCTTGACTCACATATAAAGATGCTGATGTTGGGGGGTGGCAACAATCAGCTTCATGACAAAAAATCATTAGGAGCTTGAGTTAATCAACCGACAGTGGAAGCATATCTACTTGGGGTGTGCCTACACTAATCACCAATAAGAATAAGTTGTGAATATTGATGGCAACAATAAACTGAAATCTAAATATTTTGAAATGTCCTTGATATATTTCCTCTATAATAATTAAGACAATAAGTTAATGATAAAGCAAATTGCACAAAAAATGTTTATCAATAACCAAAGGTCAGTTCCATCGTGTGAAAAGTTTTCAAATAACTTGAGCATTAAAATTTTAATAAACAAAAATATGCTTTGAAACAGTTGCCATTACAATGAACAATTATTAACCGAAGTAATCGAACTCACGCTAAGGCGGGAGATGTCCAATTTTTCTTCATCGCAGATTTGACAACCGGATTCTGGTGACCAGGCACGAGCCAGGTAGTTTGAAAGTGAGTTTAATTTGTGCTACGAAAAAGCAGAACTCCTTCTCAAACAAATCACATGGAACATTTTATAATGGCTTAAAATCCTACAGTCTTCAAAATGTCTAACATAGCTTAAGGTAGCAACTTACCTTTCCTTCAGCAGACGCAATAAGAATAGGTGGTACGGTGTCTTTCCTCACATTTTGGACGTAACCACGGTCACCATCATATCGAATTTTCAGGTGAACTCCTTTTGAACAAAGAGGTTCGTGTTAAAATTGATCAGTGCATCTTAAATGGTTTATAACTTTAAAATTTTACCGGAATCATCGTCAACAAGTTGAAAGAGAACGGAATCTTTGTCAATTACAATTTTGTCCGAATTCTGCAAAACAAACGTGGGTTCATATTAGATTGAAAATATAGTGTTGAAACAGAAGTATTCATGCAGTTGCCTGTATAAGTTCGCTATTAAGAGCCCCAATGAATTTATCAACTTGACTATCGGAGGGTTCATCGGGTAGAGTTTCGATCAGGTTATTCAATTTCTTTGTTCTAGCCAGCATACCACTGAAGATTTCATCTCCAGAAGGCAGTGTTTTATCGGAATTGGTGTCCAATTCAATAAACAAGAAGTCGGCACCAGTTTGATCGGCTTGTTGAATCAAATCAGCTGGGCGGTTCAGCAGGAGTGATATATGACTGTCAAGGATGAGAACGAATTCTGAATCTAGACCATTTGTAATGTGTCTGATAGTGTGTAGTTTATCAGAGAAGGACACATCTTTTGGAATGCGTCCATAAGTGGAAACATCGGCAAACGTGTACTTATAACCAAAGACCTGGAGTGATCGTTCAAAACGACTAACTGCATCATCTATTTCACCCCGCAAAGCAATCACCTGAAGTTCTGTAAAAGTAAGGATAAAATATATTAAATTTCTTTTTATCAGTTATATCTCCCTACTAAGTAACAAATTAGTACTACTTACCATTTGATTGAGCTACAGACACAGTAACAAGGGTAATAAGGACTAAAGATAGCAACCTATAAATAGAAATGACCATAATGCTGCTGTGTCGCCTTCTGGTCGACCGCTCTCCCATCGATTGCTATTTATACGCAATTCCCAAATGAAATGACTGGATTCGGTACCCTGGTTGCTGATTGGCTGGGTGCAACTGCTAGGTATCTCATTGGTCGGCTAGGAGAGTGACGTGGACTGGTTTTTTGCTGCCGCTTTGCTAGGATTTATGGAAAATAAAATTGAAGCTAATTGATTCAATAATAATTTTAACATTCAGCTTCGCTTTAAACTGCCTGCATAAATCAATAAGAGGAAGACTGAAACACAAGCACGAGTACGAACGTATACGTATTGAGATCAACGAAGTTAAATCATTATTTGATCTCAAATCTTGGTTTTACGATATGTCAAAAGGCTGTGGGTTTTTAAAAATTCTCACATGGCAAAAGGTTGAAAGAAGATCTTTCTCTTACGAAAATATGAACTAAATGGAAATGAAATGATTTTTTTCTAACCTAAATAAAGTAATTTAACAAATTACTAATACTCTGCTAATCTAACTAATCAGAAAAAAGATTTAGCTTGATGTTCCATACTGCCATCATGAACAGCCAAACCTATTTTACACATGATCCAATATTTTGTTTTGAGCGTCTACTAAGGTAATAAGAAATCGGGTTCAATTTGTGCCCAGACACAGTGAAGGAAGCAACTCTGTAAGTTCTCTTCCCATAGTCAAAAAATTGTTCAGGATTATTTCCTGGAAATATACTTCATTTTTGTTCTTAAAGGTGGAAAGTCCGGCTCCAAATAAGACAGAGAACACTTTAGCAAACGTAGCATGTTAATTTTCTCCCATCAGTTCCTGAGGGCCTGCAAGGCTACTAAAGCCATTTTAGAAATGTGTGATCAATTGCTGACTGTCCACTGATGACAGTTGTTGTTTTAAAGGTTGAAATCAGGACAGACTGTAAATTTCGTCGATGATGTATTAATACCCCTGTTTCAATTAGTTATTGCGTTAACTATAGTTGAGTTACTGCAAAATTCG